AGTGCTTACAGGTTTCCGTGGCCCATCCAGTTCAGATAGTATGTGGTTTTTTTAGTGCCTGGGTATACTCTAGAGCTGTAGTTTCTGTGTGTATTTACTGCAAATCTGCATCTTTGAAACTTTTTTCAAATAGACAAGATAGAGAACACCTACTCCAAGAATTCTTTTGTATTGTAGGTATCATATCTGTAGCCATTTGCATGAACACCTTGGCCAGACCTGCATTTCAGACTCTCTTCTGGCAGGATCTATAAAATCATTACAGTGTGCTTTTGATATGAAGAAAGGATGTTGGGCAGGCAGTCTTGGCTCACTGAAACACTGCAGCAGTGCAGCACAGTACAGTTTGACTGTGTCCTTATGCAGTGGCTGAACAGCCTTTCAGCATTCTTCTGTGCTGCAGCGAGTGCCACCCTCCTGCATCTGCAGTACAGGCACTCAGCTCACGTGTCATGTTCTCACAGAGGCAGCAGCGTGGCTCTGGTGGCAAAGAATAGAGGAGAGAACAGTCACTGGCTGGGGAGGTGGCCCAGTGAGTGGTGCCTGAGCAGGCAGCCTGTTTTTACAGCTCAGGTTCCTTTGCATACTGTCCCTATAAGATTATAGGCATCTCCTCCTGCAGCAGTACGTGCATGTGAGAACATTTGCTGACAGCACACAGTTTATCTCAACACTTTTTATTTTCTGGAGGTGAATGATGGCATTGCAGTGGAATGTGCTTGGTTCTTTGGTCAGGGATGGTGTCGTTCTATGATGGAAAGCATCTTCCCTCGCTCCTTCTGACCCTTGGGCACCTCTGCTTCTGCCTACCTTGTAACCAGTACAGTTGCTTTTACAGCCACACTGTGAACTCTAGCAAAGACTTGTTGTGGCTGAACTTCCTTTCATCTGGAGATGTTCTTCTCAGCCTGTTAGTGTCTAGTTCCCCAAACCAGGGCCAGGATACACGTGTCCTGGTAGGAGTGACTGCCATAGGAAATGTGACACTTCTAGTTTATTATGTATTGTGATTTCAACTAATGCCTTAGATTGCTATAATGAATTTCATCAGTTTTAACTGCGTTGTGGAGTACTTCAAATGTAGATGTTTTGGGGTTTGCCTCCTTCCCTCTCTTCCCCTATTGTGTGGTGCTTTCCTGCCCGTTCTATTTCAGATACACCAGTCTTGCCAGTACTGAATCAGATTAGCCCATGGATGCAACAGAAAGTAACAACTCAGTGTTTTCTTTTGCATCAATGAATTAATGCAACTTGTTATTTGGTTCAGTGATCACAAGGCAGGAAAGGAGAACAATCACATGTTTTCAGTAGTATTCTGCAATTAGCTGTAAGGGAGAAAATCCTGTCTCTGTGTTAGAGCTGAGGACTCCTCAGCGTGGGGGGATCATGACCTGCCTTATTTTGAACTGCAGTGAGATATTTATTACAGTGGTTGTTGTTGTTGTTATTTGACCTGTTTAGAGGTGAAATTCTTTTTCTGTGACTACAGAAAAGCAAGGTAAGATTCCATGGTTTGCAGGGAGCAGGTTTAATGTTTTACCCAGAGGAACAACACAGCTGTTGTGTTTGAATTAGCGAAGATTTTTCTAAAGAAAGTAAATTCTTTTGGAAACATTATCACTAATGCAGTTATTTTCAGACAGATTTGTTAGTATATAATCTTTTGTGTTGCTGGGAGTTTTGTGTTCCAGTCTTATTAACTTTTTGACTTCTGTAACTGCAGTCTTCCTACCTACTAACAAACAGCAAGAGTCCTGAAGTCCTTCCTTTTGTCTGTTTTTTTTTTTTTTGGTACCAGGCTACCATGAGGTCTTTGCTTAAGCATCTACCTTTTTCCCCAAAAGTTTCATGTAAACTGCTGTTGTTGATAGATTAGAAGTCCGTCTCACTGGCTTTTTTGAAATTTCTTGCCTTTTGTTCTCTCTCAATCTTTGCTGTTCTGACAGCACCACAAGTTCTGCTCAGAAATGTACTCCAACATTTTTATTGAAACTGAATCTAAAACTCTGTCCTCCCGTAAGGTTTTGATAATACTTGGATTAGAGTAACCTGATTTTATCTCCAAACAGTATTTACAAATACTCTGAAGTGACAGTAGTTTAACATTTTGGTTTTGTGAAGCTTTTAACATGTATTTGTATAGTATTTTCAGTTTTTAGAAAGGCCTTGATATTTTTTGTGTGTGTAGTTGTTTTTTCTTTATTGCTTAATTTTGTTAATCTGATATGCTTCTGACATTCAATAAAAAATGGATTGTGAGCACCAAAATGACTATAATAAGATGAGTCATTAAAAAACCCCGACACCCTGCATTTGAACTGTTTGGAAAGAGCTTTCTTTGTGAAAAGATTATCAGGGATGGAAAGGTTCTGCTAAATCACAAAAATAGACCTACAAGGCTGAAATGTTATTATTTTACTGAGTGATGCTATTAATCATCCTGATTTAGGGAATAAAAGCATTAACAGGGTCTGAGTAGCTGTAAGGTTGCTCTATTAATGTGTGTTTGATGGTAGATACAAACAGCCTCCTGCTGCCTTCTCTCCTCAGTGTTTTTGGCATTTTTTTTTTCTGCCTGCTGTACCTGTCTGGCTGTCAAAATAATAAATATTTTCCCTGAAAAGTCCTACCCCTTTTCCTGTCTCTGCCTAATCCATCTCCCTGAGCATTCTGCAGTCCACCGTGGGACAGTGGTTCGAGTACCTCACTCGAGAGAGTTACTGGAAGAGCACTGGAGGATTATTACAGGGCTGCTGACAGCAGTCACCTGAGGCTGCAGCACGTGCTGATGCCAAGTGCTGGCCTCTCTCTTTGGAGTGCAGGGTTGCCAGAGGCTAATAAGGCATGTCCAGGCCTTGGTTAGGTTTTGGTGTGGCAATAATCCATTAGGAAGCTGGGTTGATATCAAGGATCTCTGGGAGCTTCTGTGATCCTCCCTTAAATAACTTTGTGTTTCTGCAGCTGTTGTGCTAAGGAGAAGAGATTCACTTGCAGAATAGGCTAATATCTGGGGGGATTAAAAACCCGAAGCCTACGTGATATAGGTTGTTTTGTTTCTATTCAAACTCCAGGTAACAGGAAAATTTGGATTATAAATAGAAAGCTTAACAGTGGGAGTAATATAATATAGATCATTTGTACACGTGAGTGAATGACCTTCATAGTGAACCTATGAGTCATTCCAGTGAGAATAAATTGGACTACAAAACAATTAACTGCAGTGGGTTTATTTGCTAGTTGATATGCTAGGCTGACAAAATGGCCTTTTTTAAAATCTGGCATAGTGCTTGTTTTGGAAATTATAATAATTCCTATATTTCCATGCCAAATTGTTGGTTTAATTTCTGTAAAAGTACTAGTGGGTCATCTTCATATTGTCCATGTTTTACATGGACAGAAATAAAAAAGAAACTACGAACCAAAAAGTCTGAGATAGGAAAAAAATCTTACACTTGCTTGTCTAGGGTATGTAAGATAAACGTTTGGTCCCGTGTTGTTTCAATAACTGTGGGAGCTAGGGGAGGGATAGGATGATTTTCCAACTGGTTTAGGCATTGTTATGTCTTGGCTGATGGGTGTGTATGTCTGACCCTCAGTGGCTGCCATTGTTCAGCATAAACACATTGTGACATTTCCCCTTTAAGTAATTGCACATAAACCAGATGGTAACTTATATATTTTTATTATCTACTGATTACTTAATGATGCATAATGCATATTGTATTAACTTGGAGATGTGTCATAAATAAGCTTGGATTTTTGTGGGGGTACCTGAGGTGGAATAAATACTGCATTTCTGACCTTTGCTTTGTCAGTTGTGGTCCTGAACAGTCACGCAGCTGCAAATCTTTCCTTGTTTTCATACTGGTATTGCTGCCATCACCAGGGTCTGCATTTTCTGAGCTTATTCTGAGCAGTGTTTCGGACTATTACCTTTCAATATTGAGTCCCTACTTGCAGAACTCGGTAAAATCATGGGTACTGTAGAACACTGATTCTAGGAGAGCTGAGATCGATGAAGAGGGTAGTTGTAGTTACTAAACTTCTCTGGTTTTAATGCAAGTATTATGTTTATTGAGTATCTGGTTTATGAGTGTAGTTTTTTAGGTTGTTCTTTGTCTCAAGAGAACTAGAAAAACACAGTTTTCGGATAATTCTAGTAATAATTATTTTTCCTTTTTTCAGGAAAATGTGATAAAGTAAATAAAGATTGCTTGTATAGGTGTCTGATGTTGTGTCCTGTAGCACCCCCTGTGCCTCTTTTTTTTTTCCTTTTTTCTTTGAAAGAGACTATTGTCTTCCTGCTGGGGATGGAACAACAGCTGTTCTGAGTGACATAACACTGGAACTTGAATTTGAAATAGCATTTTGTCCATGACCCCCTTTCTCTGTTTTTCCCCTCTTTCTCCTGCTTGGTACTGACTGAATGCCTCTTTGGGATACCTTGTGTAAACCTCCGTACTTTACTGCCTAAATGTGCATCAGAATACGTGTTTGAAGTATCTAATGTGGCAAGTGCTAAAATTAACACTTGGAACACTTCAGGATTATGAGTCATCAATCCCTGGCTGCTGTTTTTATATTTCAATAATTAATATAACCTATCTGGAAGTTACTTTTCAGAGACCTATCATGGTGATCCACAATCAATCTCGAATAGAAATAAGTGAGAAAATTCAGGTAGCTGCGTGCTATATTTTACCTTAGGTGTACTGATTTTTAATGCCAAACAGCTAAAATAAGGAAATCAACTACTTTTTATATATAAAATTATTTTTAGGTCCAAAAGTGAAACAGAATTTAGTCCAGAAAGATCATAGGCATTACCTTTGGGGGACTGTTAGTTCAGTAGCATGAAATATTTCAAAGGAAGAATTTTATCTGTAACAAGAAATGTTTTTTTTCTTTGGTTTTTTTTTTTTTAATAAAGAATCCCTAATGATTAAATACAGAATCACTCAGTAATGCTAACCTCTTAAATGTTGTCTTCTGTTTTGTAGAAGACCCTTTTGAGGACTTCTTTGGGGGCAGACGGGGTCCAAGGGGAAGCAGAAGCAGAGGTGGTGGATCATTTTTCTCTGCCTTTGGAGGATTCCCTACTTTTGGAAGTGGTTTTACTCCATTTGACGCAGGTAAATATCACAACATTTAAGAAGGAACGTGGGTTTGGTTCACAAAGGATTGCAATATAATAAATTGCCTTCTCCATTCAGGAAATTCTTGGGCTGTGGTTTTTTAAATTGAACTCTCTCTGTAAGGTGTGAATGTAAATAAAACTATAGGTACAGTATTTGGGCTACCTGAAAGTTCATGTAATGTGAACAGACCTCTAAGAAGTAATACTTTCTGTGTTCGTTATTTCGGTGCTACAGTTTCTTTATAGCTTTAGAATTGCTTTTGTTCTGTTTGCTTTTAGGTGTTGGGAGTGTGATGGCTTTTAGATCCTGAAAATACACTGAAAAAATGTGTGCCTGAACCCCGTGGTACTACTTAGCCTGGGGTGGCCAGTTTGAATGCTGACCTGGGTATCTAGAGGTTGCTGAGAGCTGCTGGCAGTCGGCATCCTTCAGAATGAATCTAAGTGTTAAGATTCTGGGTATTATTTGGGGTGTTACTGATATAAGACTAGTTCTGTCTGCCAGCTCAGGGCATCCCAACACCTGCATTAAAGCAGATGATCAGATTCATTAGAGTTGCTGCCTTTAACCCTGAGTGGAGAGAAAGGGGAATGGTTGAGTTCAGCAGACAAGCTTGAATGCCTTTTCAGAGGAAGAGTTGACAAATGGTTTTTGGACAATGCTGTGCATTTGGAACTTGACCTGTGGGTCCATATGAGAGAAATAGATGGGGCCAGAGTCAGGTTTTTATTCTCACACTGATGTTTAATAACATCTAGTCACTGCTGCTGTGTTGATGCAACCGAGGGCATCCTGAAACTAGGATGTAGTCTGAAGGGATGAGAAATTTGGATCCCACAGTCATGCAAAAATACATTTTTAGTCAAATGCCTTCTTTTCCAATAGGTTTTACTTCGTTTGGTTCTTTGGGACATGGGGGCATTACTTCGTCGTTCTCCTCTTCGTCATTTGGTGGTGGCGGGATGGGCAACTTCAAATCAGTATCAACCTCAACTAAAATAGTTAATGGCAGAAAAATTACTACAAAGAGGTAAGAGATATAAATATATTTCTGTGAAACTATATGCAGAGACTTAAATAGCTATAACATGCATATAAATATACTATATCTTTGCACACATACATATAGTGATACATGTATGTATTTTTTTTACTTTTGTTGTTCTGTTCGTTATATTACTTGGATTTCTTTGCTTGAAAACATTTTGAAATGCTGTATTGGATTCTCTCACTCTTCTTGGCATTATTGAGTTGCTTAATGCTGTAGCTGGAGGTCTTATAGGCCTTCAGAACATCCTGTGTAGTGCTGCATCTTTTATTGTGGTCCTTGTCTACTGTCTGCCCAGTCACCTTGAACTTCTGGAAGGGAAACATGTACTTGGTTTCTTCTGATTGTGAAGCTTTTAGCTGGGGTTTGGGAGGACTTTTAATTTTGCAGACATTATGAAAGAGTTTTTCCTGACATCTGCTCTAGTTTGCTTTCATTGGTAGTGTTTGAGTGAAGTCTTTGTAGTAATTTTCTTCTGTCTGTTAAGTGAAATAAGCAACTGAAGCTTGCTTTGGAGAAAAATGTTCCTGTTTGTTGGAAAATGAACTTTCAAGTATTAATAACACAGTGTAGCTTCTGGCTATTTCATGCTTGTGATGGGGCAATCATTGCATTTGGCAAACCCAAATCTTTTTAGCTATAGAATAACCTAAATGGAACATCATGATCAGTAAATTATAGGAGTACTGAACAAGTAGTTAAATGTAATTTCAGTACTTAATAAAAAGTCATGGAAAAGCAAGGAAGGACAAATTTATTTTTTGTCTGGTAACTTGTGTCCCATATTTTAAAGTGCAAGGCTCTTCTGTGTCCTGTTGTACTGAAGAGATCCTGTCATCTTGACCACTAGAAAGCAGCCTCTGTCATCACATGCGGGTGTGGTCATGATATTTTTCTGTGAGTGTATTCCAGAAAAATCTGAAAACTGCCTCAAAAGTTTTGAGGGAGTTGTGCCATGTGAGAGAGACCAAAGAAAGTGTTTATGCAAAAGTTTGTTTTAACATTAAAAATAGACTATATCAGGTATGCTGCTGTCATATCTTTGTTACCATATCTAGGAAGTGAGGGGAGAAGCAAGAAATGTGGTTAACCACGTCTAGGAAGACACAGTTACTATCTCTGAGAAATCCCCTTGCTTTGTGGAATATCTGCCCACAAAGCAGCTGAGTCTAAAGAAGATTCATATCCCAACATATCCAATGAAAATCTTCTCTGAGTAATATTTTGCTTCAGGCAAGAAGCTGTTCCCTCTGTTTTTAATATGGGTGTATTCTCTTCAACAAGTCTGATCTCCAGAAGGTTTTGTATTCATCTGTGTGGTTTCCTCATTTGAATCACAAGGGGAGAATTCCCAGATGGCTAAAATTTAGGCACAAATTAAGTATGATTAAAATAATTTAAACATTCCTTGTCTTTCCATTTCTAAAACAAAGAAGGATAAAAACCCCAAACCCACAAAGCTCTTTAATAATCCTTTTTTCCAGTCAGGGATACTTGAATTTTGGACCGTACATGATGGTCATAAACTTGGTGTATAGGAGATCTACAAATTACTTGCTCTGATAAAATGAAAAGTGGGTTGAAGACTGTCTAGTGTGCCTTACATTGTGCAAAATTGTGATTGTATCTAGAATACTATGCATTTCATGAACAGGTAGGGACTAAATGCAATGTCAAGATTGTGCAGTTGATCTGTCAAAATATTTAGTACTAGATAAGAGTATAGTGTCAGGACAACTGTGATAGTGTATGAGGTGGCAGCTGTAACTGTGGACTCTACAAACTGGAGGATTCCAGCTTCCAGAATGCCATTTTCCTGCTGTAAATAAGCAATATTGGTGGGAAAATGCAGATGGTTCCTGGCTGCAGCTCCTGCGCTGGTAAATACAAAAGCTTGACAACAGCAGTTGTGTTATAGTTATAGCTCTGTTACAGTTCCTTATCTAAAACCAAGGTCTGGTGTGTATTTGAAACTGCTTGCAGTGCTTTAAAATGGCTGATGGTGTTTTTGTCCTGCAGGATTGTTGAGAATGGACAAGAGAGAGTAGAAGTTGAAGAAGATGGCCAGTTAAGGTCGCTAACAATAAATGGTAAGGAGCAGCTACGCTTGGATAACAAGTAATTCAACGCACGCATTTAACAGAAATTTTAAGCTATAACAGCCACCATTTGAGGATTGACAGGAACATTTTTTGAAGATTTCAAACGAATTCAACTTTCTGTATATCGGTACTCAATCTTAAGTAGTATAAGTAGCTCACGGAAGCTCGTATTTGTCATAGACTTTTGAGTTAATTGTTGGGACCACATCAATTGGACCATTTTTTGTCCTTAAAATTGTTGTAAACTTCTGTATGCACTTTTCTTTTCTTATCTGTGATCAAGGTGAACCATGATCCTTCAGTAGTGCTAGGGCGAGATGTACACTAACACTAGCATGAATCTTGCTTTTTCCAATTTGAAATGTGAGCCAATTAGTAGTTTTAAGTCTGCTGTGAAGTTAAAAGTTCCAGGATAACCTTTTTAATAATTTCAACTTTTTTTTTTTTTTTTTAAATGTTTAGTAGTGAACAATGTTAATACATTTCTGGTAATGCATTTCTGGTTTAAATAAATTAAGGATGTTTTCTAGTTGTGCATGAATGCAGACAACTTAGTAAGTTTTGACAAATGTTTAAATGTGTAATGTAAGCAAAAGGTAAACAAAAGTGAAGCCAGTGAGCTGAGTCTTTTGTCATTTGCTAAAAAAAAAATTCAAAATGAATAAATGCTGATGTTTGTGGTGCATTCTTTCATGAATGGCATTTGTAACCTTCTTGTGTCTGTGTGTGATTTGGGCAACTTGGGAAAACGGTGCTTTTTTTTTTTTTTCTTACCATCTTTTTCTTCAGTCTTAAGGATGAGGGCCTTTTTTCTTTGCAGATGTTTTCTCCAGTGTGACTGAAAACATGATTTTTAATTTCTTTTCTAAACCTGTATTTGAAGCACTTATTGTTTTAGAAGCATTCAGGGGCTGACTCTCTAACTCCATCTTTTACCCTAGTATGCAAGTATTGTAGGTCTAGGCTTAAAAACGTTTTCTAAAGTTTTAAGTTCTGAGATTTCTTCAAAAAGTAATCCATACTGAACATAAATACATAGGAAATCAATAATAAGCCTCAAAAAGAGTTTTTCTGAATAAGATTTTTTGTCATTTTGTGATCAAATAATAATTACTTTGAAGATTTGTACTACATTATTGGCATTATAGTATCTCACTCCTATTTTTAGTCCTCAACCAAAAATCAAGAGGTGGATTAATGCCCTTTGTTAAATTAATGGAGCGAAGCAAAGTGTTCATTTGTAGCTAAAACCAGATTTTCAAAGTTTAGTGAAAGATGACTTGGTTTCGGTGTGTCACTGAGAAAGCATGTGAGTAACTAATGGCACTTGTTAACAGCTGCCAGGCTCTGGGTAGTTCTGTGCATAAATCATGGATGTGCAGTTTTCATCTGTGCACCAGCTTTGAACATCTGGCTTTCACAAAACTCTTCAGGGTGGCTTAGTGTTTAAAAAAGACAAAAAAAAAAAAAAGCATGGTGTTTTCAAATGATCACCTAATGCCTTCATGCTGAACACCATCTGCTTTGTACTAACAAATGTGTGTTGATTATTAAATACATTGAAAAAATTTGCTCTTGTTTTTTATGAAGGAAAACCATTTCAACTTAAGCCAAACCAACAAGCTAACAAACTGCTACAACAGAATACGTATTTGTAGCAAAGTTAGTATATTGTACTTTTGTCCCTCTACCATTAATGCTAATTTGATAGAGCCAAACAAAATAACATGTAGAAGAAGAAATAAATATGTGATTTGGTTTTGGGACTAAAGAAGTTATGTATCTTTCCAAGTTCTTCGCAGAGTTTCTGTTACTTCAGTGTTGTGTTTTTGATGTAGAAGCACAAACTCAGTTTAGAACTAAATAGTGTTTTCTTGTTAATGCTGTTTTTTCCTTCCCCATGTATGTTACTTCTTGATCCAGATAACTAAACAAGCAATTTATTTTAAAATCTGGCTTTGTTGTGATGTCTTGAGTTATTAAAAATGTTAATTTATATTTATAGGACACAGTGTGCTCCTTTAAATTATGTAAACTGTAAAAAGTGCTTCAAAATTGATTAACCAAGTCAAATAAAATTAGGACAATCTGGAGTTGAGTTTGAATGCCTTCTTGTGGATATCCATAGGTTTTACATTAAACTGCCAAACTTCACCTTCTAGTTTAATCCCAGATCATCTTTAACATTTAAATTACGTCACTCAGGTTAAGAACACATTTAGGGTGGCACAGCTGCTAGTCTTAAATTGGTATCCACGTGCTTGTCTTAGATCTTCTTGCCTAGAAAAGTGTGGTCCTTCTCACAGTGTTACACACAAACAGGTCACACATCAGGGTTCCAGGATGAGATCTTTGAGTGCTGTAAATGTGCTCAAGATCTGGTGCTTTTGGACAGCAAAGATCTGTTCTGCCCTTGGATCCCTGGAACTGGTTGTCAGAGCTGGACAAAACGCGGCACTAAAATGGCAGTGCTGCACTTTCTTGGTAGAAAGAGAAACTGTCAAAACACAAGGAATGAGTCAGCAGAAGGCAGAATTAGGCAGTAGAGATTCCTGCAGTAGTGAGATACCCACACACCAGCCTTTGTATAGGCTGGGGGTTGATCTGGGTGGATATGTGGTCTTGGTCCAAGTATATCATTGGACTGGCAGTTCGAGTTCCAGATGTAAAAGACTCCTTTACACTTGACCTAAACTGAATGGTCTCCATCTCTTTCAGTACGCAGGAGATAAGTTGGTTTTTTGAAATAACACCACATCCAACTCCTTTTTTTGATGCAACTTATTGCATCCAGCTTCATTTTTAAAACACAAAATAAATCTGCATTCTGTTTATTGTCAAGTCATTTAAAATTCTTCCTAGTATATATTATATATTCAGAATTTCTTCTGCTGAATTATTTTCTCTTGAAAACCTACTTACTATGTTGCTTTGAAAAAAATTTTACGTTGTTCCTTTCTAATATGTAATTTGCATGGATATACAAGACCTGCTCACTAGAAGTGATGGATCATCAAGGACAGCAAATTTCCTTAAACTTCAGTTTTGGCCAAAATACTACAAAATACTTAATAAAAGAAAAAGTTCTTAATTCTAGCAAGTGCTAAGCATCAAATCTATGGTGGGATGAGGCAGCTTTCAAAACCAAGTGCTGTTGGATTAAAAGTGCCATTTCTTCACACATGAGGGGTTAATTTTGAATATTTAGGGACACTATCCCGTTTAAATTGAGCTTCCTCCAGTTGTTTGGAAAAACTAAGATGGAGTTTTTGAACCTGCTAAGTCATTTACTCTTTCATGCTCTGCTTCAAAGTTCATTGGACACAATAACTTTGTAATGCTTTCTTCTGGTGCAACCTCTTTTTGATCCCTTGTGCATGGCAGTAATTTCAGTGCATTACACTAACTCAAGTTTCTCTTTGGATTGCATGGCACCTACCCCTTTCACTCAGCTTTACTGAACAAGTTTGGGAGTTTGCCTTAGAATGCTTCACATTTTAAAATGGCTGCAGCCCTTGATGTTCTCAGTTCTCACAGTACCTTCTTTGTTGAGAATCAGAGGCATTGTCCTGTGGTATAGGGGACAAAGCTGCTCTGCAGAGCACGTGTACATAGCATTTGTAAGATGGATGTTGTATCAACTTGTGATTAACTGATGAACTGAGTGAGAATGCTGAAAACAAGATTGCAAAAGACTTAAAGACTTGAAAACGCATCATCTCTAAGCCCAAGGGTTTTGTATTTCTCTTGTCAGTGTTTGTGTTTGGCTGTTTTGTTTCTTTGCCTCCAGCGTTTTGGCGTCAGGTGTAATGAGGTTTGTCTTTGTATTTAACTGTGCTGTGCTTCAGAACATCTCTGAGATGGTCCAGTGATAAAGTTATATTTTATTTTTTATTTTTGGAAATGTGAGTTTTATTAATTAATCTGGTTGTGTTCTGTTTGAGAAGTGAGTTTATTACCCATTTTGCCTGAGTTTAATCTGTGGTGGTAACAGGATAGTGTTTCTAAAGGTGGTTGTGTTGCAAAGTGAATGCTGTAGCTGTCTGATGCTCATGGTCAGAGAATCTTTGAGATGTACTCAGTGTTAGTGCAAAGCTTTAACTTATTAATAGAATACTTGTTAACCTTTTTGTGGAAACATTTCTTAGGTCTTTTGGAAAACCTGCCTCTTTGGTTGTGATTTTTGGATGTCTTGGTGTTTAGGCTTATTTATAAGTCATGGTGTTCTCACAGGGTAGTGGCAATATGGACATCTGTAATCTGCCAGTCAGCAGTAACCAAACTTTGAAACTTTGCCTTTTTGTAACATAAGAAAAGAAAGCTTGTTTGTACTGTCTGCTGCCTCTGGTCTTGTTTACTTTGGGACTGAATTGTGACCACAGCCTTGCTTGACATAGTACTCAAACAGTTTGGGTTTGTTATTGCTTGTCTTCAAGTGGTTGTCTTAGGTACAGAACTTCTTAGCTTCCTCATGAAATGCTGAAATAGTCCGTTGGTTGCAAGTGTTGGAATGAAGCATGTTTACTTTGTGAGCATTGCAAACTATATCTTTTGAGTTTATAATTCTAGTGGGTTTATTTCTTGGTCTGCTTTGGTTTTGGAAAAAATGGCTAGAGTTGGTTGTTGAGTGAAGTGCACTCCTGAAAGGTTAGAGCGGAAGGTGGATGGTTTATACTCTGCTACACAGGTCATACCTTCACAAAACAGTGAACCTCACATTTGAGATGATGCTGTCAGATTAAAAAAAAAAAGAAATAATTAAAATCCCATGATGATCAGAGCCATACCCTGAACCTGTGCAAGCTGACTGCTGATTCACACTCACTGGAACTTCTCTGAAAACTCTGTTCTGGCAGATTCAGTGCTGCGTTAGGTGTTATCTTACTTACAACAGCTGGTAGAAAGTTAATCAAAAACCCACACGAGTACCCTGTGCCCTGTCATGCTTACCGTGGCCAAAAGATGTGCAGCAGCTTGGATGTGATAGT